AGGCCACCGACTGGTACCAGTTTATTCCATGGCCTGAGGACACTACTACAAGGCTGATCACACACGGAATTACCACGGGCCACCTCAGCTCTGGAGATGTGCCCAACAGAACCGAGCTGGCCCACAAGGAACCCGTTCCCAAGTGCTCACGGCAGCACGGTCCCTACATGTCCTTGGGCTGAGGAATGGCCCAAGGACGTGGTCTCTCCTCAGAGCTGAGCCCACATGCCCTTCGGCTGAGAAACAGCACAAGGACATAGCCCCAAGGACCACAGGTCTGGACCCAGAAAACCGGACCCTTGGCGGCAGCAGCCGGACACAAGTTCAGGCCGCATCCTGTGTGATTTCATCCCTGCCAGGGTCCAAACCTGGGAAAGCCCGAGACAGAACGGACGACGGGGCGGGGGGGGGGGGGGGCGCCACGGGGGGGGGGGGGGGGGGGGGGGGGGGGCGGTGCGCCACGGGCAGTGGAGGGGCGGAGGTGGACACCAGTGGGCATAGACTTCCTGTTGGCGGGGGGGGGACATGATGGGGATGCCGGCCCAACAACGGGAATGTACTAAATGCCATGAAACCGTACACTTTACAGTGGCTAATTCTCCATTCCCAACGTGTGCACGTGATATGAATGTAATACTGCACGTCCGTCATATCTCAATATAAAGTTAAAAGTAGAAAAATACAGTGGGTTTTGTTATGTGAACCTTACTTCAACGAAATAATCAAGCTGAGATGAATTTAAAAACCGAACTTAAAAAACGAAAACAGGGGCACCTGGGTGGTGCAGTGGGTTAAGCCTCTGCCTTCTGCTCAGGTCATGATCTCAGGGTCCTAGGATCGAGCCCCACATCGGGCTCCCTGCTCAGCAGAGAGCCTGCCTCCCCCCTCTCTCTTCCTGCCTCTCTGCCTGCTTGTGATATCTCTGTCTCTGTCAAATAAATAAATAAAATCTAAAAAAAAAAAAAAAAATGAAAACAGGGGCATCTGGGTGGTTAAGCATCCCACTCTCGATTTAGGCTCAGGTCATGATCTCAGGGTTGTGAGATGGATCCCCGCCTTGGGCTCCACACTCAGCAGGGAGCTGGCTTCAGATTCCCACTCCTTCTGCCTCTCCCACTGCATTCTCTCTGTGTCTAAAACAAATACAGTAATCTTTAAAAAATCAAAACAAAAACTTTCAAAAGAAAATCAAGACCATATGGACACAGACATCTTATATAAGACCCAGAACAGCAATCCTGAAAGAGAAAGAAACTAATCTCACCACACTGAAATTTGTAGTGGCTACCCAAGAAAAGATACCAAAAGAGCACTGTGGAAATGACGCCCACCCCACTCATGTCGTTCAGGAAGTCTTACAAGTGTACCCGTCAACACAAGGATATTCGAGGCACCACGCGGTAGCAAAAAATGGTCAACATGCTCAGCAGCCAGGGAAGAATCAAATACATCAGGACACGGTCACAGGAACAATGGGCAGGTCCTGTCCTCAGCCCTTCCCGTGGGAAGACAGTGGTACTAGGGTTCTCTACAGAGAAGGAACCACCATGATGCCCATACACATACATCTAGTTCAGCAAGTCCAAGGACAGGAGAAAACTAATGTCCCAGGTCAGGCAGTCGGACAGCACAAGGTCCCTCTTCCTCCACCTGTCTGTTCTATGCAGGCCTTCACCTGATTCAGTGAGGCCCACCCACATCGGGAGGGCCATTTGCTTCATACAGCCCCCCAGTCCATCGTTAACCTGATCCAGAAATGCCCTCGGAGACACCCCCAGTGTTGCACCAAATGTCTGGACTCCCCACGGTCCAGGCAAACTGACACATAAAAGCAGCCATCACAACACCTGTGTCCAGGGTGGAAATGTGAGTCACAGAACACAGAAGGCACAGTCTCCTGTCAGACTGGAAAACAGCAGCACAACACAAGGTGTGTGGATACAGATGTAGGAACCTAGTATCTACACCCATAAAGGCACATCGGCCGAACCAGGGGACCTCCAGGAGGCTGGAAAGGACACGGGCTTTTCACTGTGTTTCTGTGCTGTTAAATTGAATTTAATAGGCACTCATCCCAACTGCAGCAAAAAAAAGTAACAGTGATACAACTTGGGGAGGAAAGACAAGCCAGTGTGCTTGGCCTCGATGCAAGACCCCATGAGGAGACCTCCCTGGCAAGGCAGCTCCCAGCATGGTCATTGGGTGTAACAAGTAGAGGGCCTGAATGGGCAGGTATGCAGGCAGAAACCCGAGGAACTCAGCCGTGTGGCTATGCCAGGAAGGCCAAAGCCAGGAGGAGAAAGGGGCACCCAAACTGGTGTTTCATGTTCCAACTCTGAGGAGCAGGGAGCTTGGCTCATAGGGCAAAGGAAACCAGTGACAACAGAAAAGCTCCCCCCGCTGCCCCCTGCACACTGCAGGAGGCTGGAGCTGGGCAGCATCAAGGGGAGGGCCACGGTGAGGGCCATGGTGAGGGTAATAGTGAGGATGAAGGGGAGGACCAGGGGGTGGGCCGAGGGGAGAAACATGGTGAAAGCCACAGAGAGAGTCAAGGTGATGACAACAGTGAAGGCCATGAGGCAGGGCAAGCTGGGCAAGGGCGAGTGGCCTCACAGCAGCTGTGCAGCCGGGCCTGTGGTCAGGCATCCCCTTCACCACCTACTCTCCCACCTGCCTTCAGAGCTGTTTCTTCCTGAGAAATCCCAATTACAGCTCAGGTATAAGAAGCTGGTCAGAGCAGATGTTTCAGCACTGTGGCTCTCACCATGGGGCCCCTGTACCCCATGGGTCCCGTACCCCATGGGCCCCGAAGGCCCTTCGAGAGACCCAGCAATCAGAGCCCATCTGCATGTTTACACATGCCTCACTTCTGTCGCTTCGTGCTGAGAACAGCTGTGTTGTGGGATGCTGGGGGTTACAGAGGTTTGCACCCTGGACCAAATGCCACTCCCTTCCCGGCATCATGTGCGTTGTTGGTTTTGGAGAACACAGGTTCCCGGGAAAAATACATGAGCAACAGCCCTGAAGACTCACGGTTCACCAGCCAGCAGCCAGTGGTACGTGTGGAAGAAATATCCCCAGAGTCACCCATGTACATGGGTGGTTTTTTAATTTTATTTTATGATTTTACTTAATTGTAAGTAAGTGCACACAAGCAGGGAGAGTGGCAAGGAGAAGGGAGAAGCAGGTCCCCTCTAAGGAGGAGCCCAATGTGGGACTCGATCCCAGGACCCCGAGATCATGCCCTAAACCAAAGTCAGACTCTTAACTGTTGGAGCCACCCAGGCACCTCCACAAATGTGTGTTCTCCAATGCACCCACATACACACATATGCTGGCTAAACACTCAATTCTGATCTCACCCCAGAGACACGATCCCACCCACCAGCTCAGAGCAGAGAAGCAAAAAGGACCAGATCTCTCCCCAGGGACAGGATCCCACCCAACATCTCAGAGCAGAGGAGCAGAAAGGACCAGATCTCTCCCCAGAGACAGAATCCACCCAGCAGTTCAGAGCACAGGAGCAGAAAGTACCTGATCTCTCCCCAGAGACAAGATCCCACCCAGCAGTTCAGAGCACAGGAGCAGAAAGCACCTCATCTCTCCCCAGAGACAGGATCCCACCTAACAGCTCAGAGCACAGGAGCAGAAAGTACCAGATCTCTCCTCAGAGACAGGATCCACCCAGCAGTTCAGAGCACAGGAGCAGAAAGTACCTCATCTCTCCCCAGAGAGAGGATCCCACCCACCAGCTCAGAGCACAGAACAGAAAGGACCAGATCTCTCCCCAAAACAGGATCCCACCCAGAAGTTCAGAGGAAAGAAGTGTGGAGAGCTCCATGAGGTTCTCATGTCAAGCAGGAGCCTGGATCCAGTAATGACGCAGCAGTTGAGGGGACTGCAGCTTCCAGATATCTCTGGGACCACAGTCATCTGTGCCCCCCACCCAAATGATAAAGAGCAGAACCAGAGGAGGGCTGCGGTGGCCCAGGACCGAGTAACTCCTTTTAAAGGGGAGGGTTTTGGCATTGAACCGTTGGACTCTTCAGACTCATGACCCCTCTATGTCTGACCACATAGAAGGCAGCTGCCCCCAAGGACTCTGCGCCTTCGATCCCCCAGTAGAACCCACATCCTTCCCTGCTTGAACAGCAGCAGCAGGAAGTGCCAAGAGCCGACCTGGACCAGACCAAGGCCTTGTCTTCACTGCACCCAGACTGACTTCACGTTTGCTTTGCTACCATCTTGTCCCCTCTGTTATTTTGTTCGTCGTGTGGTGTGTCTTCTGTCCCGCTCTGCGTGCCATGTCACCCATTGAACGGTGTGTGAGCCTGCTTTGTAACTGTTAGGAACTCTCCTTTATGACCAAATACAACTGTCATTGTGGAAAGACTCAGCTCGTGTGAGCACCTTCCCAGCATCCTCATGACACGCAGAAAGCCTCCATCTCTCTGACAATGCTCAGTGGGTCAGGGACAGTGTCCTCAAGAAACCGTGCTGGATATCCACATGTGCAGAGTGGACTGGAAGCTTTCTCACACCGTCCACAAAGATTAACCCAAAAGAGACCAAAGGAGCAAGTGTAAGGTCCCCAGAAGAAAACACAGGGAACATTTCCCCAGGCAGTGGTCCAGGCCACAACTGGACATGACACCCAAGCACAAAGGACAAATCCTGTCAGGAGGGGGGACCCCATGGAATGACAAACTTCTAACTAGGAGGCGAAACCACTGATAAGGGGAAAGGATAGCCCAGAATGGGAGAAAATATTTGCAAACCACATAGCTGATACAAAGGGGCAGCAGAGTTGAGAGGCACAGAGCAGCCAGGCCTCCCGCAACCTGCCACTCGCCATCTGCTCCAGACCCGGTGCCTCCCAGCCATCCCAGCCTCTGAGGTCTCTTCCTAGGGCTCTGCTGTCGGCTTCCATCTGCCATGCTCCACCCAGAACCATGTCCCACGACCTTCCGCCCAAAACAAAGCCAGAGTTGCACATGGGCTGCTTCTGGGTCACACTTTAATAGCCACGCCAGGGTGTCAAGTGGGACACCCCATGACTGTGAGATTCACATTGCACGGGACCATGGAAGTCAGTGGTTTAAAAAGGGAAGAAAGTCAGCTCTTCTTGTGCAGACACGGCCACATCCCAAAACAGCAGCACATAAATTAAGCAGACAGAAGCTCCTTCCCGCACCCTGAGCAGCTCAGGGAAAGAGGGGTATGCTGCTGAGACCACGGTGCACAGGTGGAGCACCCCACAGTCTGCACACAGCACGGCACTTCCCACAACCCACCTGTCCTTTCAACCAACACCAGATGGAAAGGTGCAGGCAGCCCAGGGGCAAGGCTCTGGACCATCCTTGTCCCGGGCTGATGGCGGAATGCCCCCCAAACCCACAGAGCTGGGGTCTTGTCCACCCTCATCTGGCAGAAGCTGCAACTCAGCTCAGCCTGGAAGCAGGTACAGGCCTGCTCTCCTCAACCCCAGGCCATGGGATAGCTCCTGCCCACACACCCCCCACCCCCTGTCCCAGCCACAGAGCAGCCAGAGAGGACAGCCCAAGCTGGGCATCAGACCCTCTGGGAAGCACAGAGGACAAGGAGCACAACCCCGATGCCCACAGCCATGGGGGCCCACTGCTCTGGGGGGCCTCCAGAGGGGGGTGCATTAACGGGACCACCATGGGCAGTGGGGGCCAACCAAAGGCAGGGCCCTCCATGACCCCTGGCAGCTCCGGAGCCCACAGAAGGCAGGGGACTTCCAGTGCTACTTGGTGGCTGTGGGCCACCAGTCTGGCACAGATGCAGTTAAGGCCACCTGGCCACCCTCAGAGGTCCTGATGTGGAGAGGGCCCTTGATTTTCTCCGACCGCAGCAGTGCCAGGCCCACGTCTCCCTGGCCGGCCCTGTACTTGCCGGCTGCCTGCCCCGACTCAGTGAGCACCAAGGCCCCAGGGGTGATGCCACCTGCTGGGAGAGGGCCTGACAGCCGCACCGGGAAGAGCCGCTTGCGGATGACACCCATGTGGTGGGTGCGCGCCGTCAGCTCCTGGCCGATGTAGCAGCCCTTGCTAAAGCTGACACCATTCATGAAAGCCAGGTTGGACTCCAGGGGCAGGGCCACTCCTGGGGGCAGGTCATGGACGCCCTCGGGAACGCCTGTGGGGTGGGAGGGAAGCAGCTCCCTGAGGACTGGGGGCGGCCCTCCTGAGCCCTGCTGCCCACAGGGCCCACTCTCTGCACCCTATTGTCTGGCACAGGTGGGGGGCTTGGGAGGAGTGACCAGCTAGCGCTGGAGGAGAGGAGCCCTCACCACGGACCTCCCAGGGCAGAAGCCCACCACACCGCGAGCCCCCACCGCTCCCCGCGCCCACCGCGTCCCAGTCCCGCGCTCATACCGTGCATGTACCGGTGCCGGTGATAGTCCCAGAGGTCTCCCAGCTGGCCGCCGGACACCAGGGCCAGGCCCTTATCCTGGGTGAGAAGACGCCAGCCCATGCAGCCGGTCCGGGGGTCGCGAGCGAGGATGGTGGTCCTCTCGGCTGGCTCCCGCAGTGGCACAGCCCCGCAGGCCTCCACTGGGGTGCAGGGCAGCACCGACCACACACATAGCTCCGGGCGCGGCTCCACGGTGACCTTCCGCCGGATCTTGTACAGCCCCAGGTGCGTCTGCAGGGCGCCCAGCACCGCGCGGTCACACTCCAGGAGGAAGGCGGGCACCTCGCTACGATCGCACTCTGGGAGTCTGCCGGCAGAGACGGGGGCTCCTGAAGGCGGGCCGGGTGCGTGGCCACAGACCTCCACTGACTGCCCGGGACGGCTGCGCGGTCCCTCCCAACCCAGGGTACTGGCAGAGCTGGTGCGTGCCCAAGGGGCAGACGACGTGAGGAGTGAGACGCCATGGGTCGGCCGGGGGTGGGGTGGGGAGCAAGTCCCAGGAATGGGGGGCGTGGTACTGTGCGCCCTCACAGTGAGATGGAAAGCCACCAGCAGCCTGACAGCCAGGACCTGCCTTCTCTAGCTCCACAGAGGCCGCAGGTCTCAGGTGCTGGCACTCAGACTTCAAGAGGGTCAGAAGCTCGGGGAGCTGGTAGGACAGCACACACATCAGGGACAAGGGGGGCGTGCGGTAAGGCCACTCTCTCCCCGTGCTCACCCCCTGCCACCCCTCCCCCCCCCGCTTCCCCCAGGTGAACTCTGGAGGGCCCAGGAATACCCTAACCCCCACTCTGGGCAGCCATGCCCCCGGAAGGGACCCTGGAACCCCGTGACCAGTGTGGGAACCAGGTGGGACAGCTGGGGTGCTTATGGGCAGATGAGCAGGGGACCTTAGTGCAGATGTCCATGACCCAAGTACCTAGCTGGGATCCTGGTTGTAGAGAATGATGGAACAAGGACATACAGCCCCGTGGAAACTGAGACAGGGAGTGGGTAAGACCATCCACGAGTGTGTGTGAG